AGGAGGGGATTTGGAGCCAAATTCCTTGAACCCAAGTCCCAGCTTTATTCTTTAGCACTATGTTATTGGCCATATTTTATCATAGGAAAATTGGTTAATCTTAACTCTGCTTATCTCACCAGAGGATAAATTAAGATGATATATTTGTGAGGGATTTGTGTACTATAAATATATCAGGAAGGCTGACTCGGGGCAGGGTGCAGCTGGCTCACACTTGTTAACCCGGCATTTCAAGGCTGAGTGGGAGGATCTGCTTAAAGGCCAGGAATTTGAGACTAGCCTGGGCAACATAGCAAGACCTTGTCTCTACAATTTTTTTTTAATTAGCCAGGTGTAGTGTGTGTGTAGTCCCAGGTTACTAAGGAGGCTGAGTTGGGAAGGATCTCCTGAGCACAGGAATTTGAGGCTGTACTGAGCCAATATTGCACACCTACACTCCAGTCTGGGCAACAGAGTGAGACTCTGTCTCTAAGAAAAAAGAAGGCTGACTTTTCCTCTTGGATATATCTTGGTTAGGCTGAAGTAGAAGGGAGATCAGAGGGAGAAGCTGTCTGGCTACACCTGGCAATAACTGTTCCTTCTGCCCTCAGTTGCCGCTCAACTTCTGATGGAACAACACTATTCTGAAATTTTGAAGGGGCTGTCTGTGGTGTGGCCTTGATCTTCGCTGCCTTGTCATCATTCGTCAGCGACAACTGGACAGAAAGGCTCTGGAAAAGGTCCGGAAGCAAATCGAGTCCATATAGCATATATTCACACTTTTATCCTGGGTCTTAGAGACCCTATCTCAGACAAGAAAGTGAAATGAAACTGATTTGGCACCCTTGGTTCTTTGGAGCCTTGTGATGGTATCCCTTCTCCCATATTCTCTTTCGATCATTAATGAACAGAATAAAAGAGTAAAAGTAGTTTTCTTCCCTACTATAATTTGGAGCAAAGAAGTCATGGGACAGAGAGAAAAGGTGGCAACTTTTAGGCCCCATTCTACCAATACCTATCTTCCTTCTACTTATTTAAAACTTCCGAATAAAATTCAGCTAAACTCTGTTCTCTTCAAAACGAATAAATCTTCGCCTTTTACTAAAGATTTCCGTGGAGAGAAACAGTTTGAGTTGGTAACCAATTTTTGAAGTCTGCTTAGGAAGGCTAAGTAAAAAAAAAAAAAAAAAAATTTCAGCTAAAAAGTTTATTTTTCAGTCAAAACTTGTTTTTCCTCAACCTATCCCCAAAGAAGAAATAATCACAATACATAACAGAAGTATTTTAGTGTCCTCTCATATAGGTAGATCAGGCCTCAGGTGTCCTGAAGTGATTCCGACCTTTGAGAGCAGAACACCTGAGTGGGATCCCAGGGGGAAGCCCTGGCATCCTCGTTATGATTGGGAAGTAGGCCAGGAAGGCCTCTGTTCCAGTTCACATCTCATCTGCATGCAGCACTGTTCTGATGTGCCCACTGGGTCCTGTCTTTCCTTCTGCTTCTCAAGCGGTGTCTTTGTTGAGCCGTTTGTACCCTTTGCTCCAGGTGGTTCCCCAGTCTAGACTCTGCACATTGAGTCTCCAGATTTTCTGTCATGTTCCTTGTGGTCAGGATATTTCTGGAAATCACTGGGAAGAAAGGAAAAGGTTAATTGTAGAGTGTTCCCCTGGGTGAGGGACCCTAGACAGGACAGGACCTCCCCTCCGCTCTTGACTACCATGATTACCAGGGCCCTCCCTGCCCTTGCCTCTCACCTCCATGAGGCTGGTAATCCTCGGCCCAACTTCTGGTAGACCCTGAAATGGCTGAAGCTGGGCAGAATGATGAGAGCCAGGGAAAAATAAGGATCTGGAGGAAGCAAGAGGACAATTGGGCTGTGGGGACAATAAAAGAAGGGAGCAGAGGGCAGAGTGAATTGTAGGGCAGTTGGGATTATCAAGTAAGAAAAGATAGATGTGCCTGGGTGGGGGTGTTTGGGATGGAATGGGGTGGAGAGATGGGGGAGATGGGAAGTAGACTAATGTACCAGAACACAGATGCTGGTCTGGCAGCTTTGCTGGAGGTTTGAGCAATGAGTGTCTGCAGTTGGCGGAGCTGAGCCACCAAGGAGCTGGGAAAGGAGGAAAGAAGAGTTAGTATTTTCTGGGAACCAGGACCAAGAATGGTGCCCCTGTGTACTGCACCCTCACCACTTTCAGCACATACACACTGTGCTTTCACTTACATGTTGTGCCTCTCCAAGCTCCTGGACTTTTTTCTGTAGTTCCTGGTTCTGTGCAGAACAGGCTGCCACCCTAGAGATTGTGGAGAGGTAAGACAAGGCTTAGCAATCTGAGTCCCTTACCTGCCTGCCTTGGTGAGGAAGGGGCCACAGGAAGTCAGAAATGTGAGCCAAACATACCTAACCTCTAGCCCATCGATGTACTCTTTCTTCCGCCGCCGACTGTCCTGAGCTGACTGCTTGTTACGTATTTTCCTTCTGACCTTCTTGAGGACCCTCTCCTCTGCCTGGAGACCCAGGGTGTGTCATTTTTGGATCCTTAACTTCCCCAACTCCCCAACTCTTCCCCTGGATGTTGGCTCCTGGGAGGCCATGTGGAGCCCCTGGTTTGGGATACTCTTCGGGGAAGTGTGTTACCCTGGTGAGAGCAGGTTAGAGGGGAGAGAACCCCTTCCTGCCCCAGCAGACGCTTCTCCTCATCTGTCAGGAACAGGGTTTGACATGGCAGCTGGGGCGGTGGGCAGGAGAGAGGAGGTAGTTTTGTATATCCTTTACCCAGAGACTTAGGACCTTGTACTCTGAGCAAGCAAGGAAGGCCTGCACCTGCCTGTCAATCACAGGGAGCACCCTGGGACAGTGGCCTATTCTCTAGGGTCTGAGCTCCACTTTTCAAACTGAGGCTCTGGCTGGTGCAGTGGCTCACGCCTGTAATCCTAGCACTCGGAGCGAGCGCGGTGGATTGCTTGAGGTCAGGAGTTTGAACCAGGCCTGAGCAAGAGTGAGACCCCGTCTCTACTATAAATAGAAATTAATTGGCCAACTAATATATATATATAGAAAAAATAGCCGGGCATGGTGGCACATGCCTGTAGTCCCAGCTACTCGGGAGGCTGAGGCAGAAGGATTGCTTGAGCCCAGGAGTTTGAGGTTGCTATGAGCTAGGCTGACGCCACGGCACTCACTCTAGCCTGGGCAACAAAGCCGAGACTCTGTCTCAAAAAAAAAAAAACTGAGGCTCTGTTCCCTGCAAGACAAGGAGTTCCCAACAAAGTATGTAGAGAAAGTAGATGGTACCTGTAGTTAACCTGAGTTGATGGCAACTGAGTCCTTCCCTTTCTCACTAGTATTTCTTTTTGAAAGATTTATACTTCACTTTGTGACTTAAGAAGAATTTGTTGAGTATTGACAAAATGTTTTTAAAAGGGAAAAGAAAAGAATTTGCTTCAATTTTCAGACTGAGGCTCTGTCCCCTCTTGGCTTTTGCCTCCTGATGGTCTTTGGCAAACCATTTTCTATCTGTGTTTCCTGATGCTCCCTTCTTTCTCTGGTGACTGTTTGAACTACTAGAGGGGTGAGTCTTCCAATCCACTAATGACTGAGAATGGGGCCTAGAGAGTTTTATTTAGAAAACAAAACAACCAAAGATACACTGATACTTCTAACGTACACCCAAATTTAGAAGTGTTAGAACTTTTTTTTTTTTTTTTTTTATCAGACAGAGTGTCGTTCTGTTGCTCTAGGTAGAGTGCAGTGGTGTCGTCAAAGCTCACAGGAAGGAACCTCCAACTCCTGGGCTCAATCAATCCTCCTGCCTCAGCCTCCCTAGTAGCTGGGTCTACAGGCACATGCCATGATGCCTGGCTAATCTTTCTTTTCTTTCTTTTTTTTTTGAGACAGAGTCTCACTCTGTTGCTCAGGCTAGAGTGCCATGGCATCAGCCTGGCTCACAGCAACCTCAAACTCCTGGGCTCAAGCGATCCTTCTGCCTCAGCTCAAACTCCTGGGCTCAAGCGATCCTTCTGCCTCAGCCTCCCGAGTAGCTGGGACTATGGGCATGTGCCACCATGCTCGGCTAATTTTTTCTATATATTTTAGTTGGCCAATTAATTTTCTTTCTATTTATAGTAGAAACGGGGTCTCGCTCTTGCTCAGGCTGGTTTTGAACTCCTGACCTTGAACGACCCGCCCACCTCGGCCTCCCAGAATGCTAGGATTACAGGCATGAGCCACCGCACCTGGCCCTAATTTTTCTATTTTTAGTAGAGACAGGCTCTCACTCTTGCTCAGGCTGGTCTCCAACTCCTCACCTCAGGTGATCCTCCTGCATCAGCCTCCAAGAGTGCTAGGATTACAAGCATTGGACTTTTTAAGGTTCCTCAGCCCAAGATTCTAAGACGCTTGGCTTCTGGTCCTAGCTTCAACTACAGGTTTAAAGAAAGGCTAGCACCTGTGCTCTGCCATTTGGGCACAAGGAGTACCTTCCAAGGTAAAGTCCCCCACTGTAGGACCCTGCTCAGCCAGCCTTGGGAAAGGCATCTAATGTGATCCTCTGCTGCTCTGTTGCACTGGCCAGTGGGTGCCTACTGGGCAACTGTTCCAGTGGAAACTGCTGCAGTCATTTAGCCTCCTTCACCCTGTACCCAGTAACCAGTTGGATCCCAGGTGGCCTGTCCTATTTCCATGCCCTGACCCAGGCTAAGACAATGGCTCTGGCTAAGCATAAAATGCACACAAGGTCTAGGCTTCCTCCTGAGACCTGTTCCCAGATTCTCCTACCCCACCTTCTCTTTAACTGAGTCCCCATCACCTTATCTCCAAGGGCTCTCTCAACCCCCTTGCCCTTTCCTGCTCTTAAAATTGTTCATGTCTCCTTGGTCTTCAAGCCCAATGCAGGAAAAATTGGGGCAAAGACAAGAGTTCATCATCAGTTTCCCCTTCCTTTATTCTCCTTGCTGCCATCTGTGTGATTATGTATGTGTGTATCAGGGAGTTCTGATGGTTCTGGCTGACACCAAGACTCACCAGGGTTGCAGGAGGCACTGGGGCTATGGTGCCTGCCCTGGGCAGGATATGGGCATTGGCATCAAAGGGCAGCTCACTGACCATGCAGACATCAGGCACCAAAAATGATGGGGTCCACTGATCTGAGGGAGACAAAAGTGGCTGGGAGAAAGGAGATAGAGAGTATACCCTGACAGCAGCAGGGCCTGGGTAGTGGCACAGGTTGAGGAAACCCCTTTAACTCCATACCTAGGGCTGGACCTAAAAGGGCCCTTGTCCCGTTCCCACAAAGAACACTGACCTAGCTGGATGGAGATGAGCCCTACATTGGGTTCAGCTTCCCCTTGCATCCTCTCCAGGGCCCCTGCCTCATAGACAACCTTATAGAGGGCAGGAGAACAGGGTGCTCTGGGTGGAGGGGGACTATCTTGATGGCCAGGGTCCTCAGAGATGGCACTGTCACTGCCAGGAGATGCTTCTGAGCAGTACACTTCATTGGGATCAATGAAAAGCTTCAGGAAATCTTCAGGCTCACTCTCTTGAAGGCCCTACAGTAGGAGAGGGAAGAATTTTAGAAGTCCTACCTGACATCAGACCTAGATGATTCATGCTTCAATTTCAATCCTTTCTTTTCTTGGCCATGGAGATAGTTGTAACTCATGTCTACTTTGGGGTCTCTGTTTCAAGACCTCTTGCCAACTGGGGATTGAAGCCTGTTGGGGTTTCTTATCACAGAGTTGTGCCTCAACCCCACCCCCAGTCCCATTTATCACACTCACACAGCCATGGCCCCCACTGGACTCCAAGCCTTGCAGCCCCTGTTCTTGTAGCCTAGTCACCGGGATCTCTGGAGGGGGACAGTGGAGTCCCAGCTCCGGGAAGGATCCCATCGAAAAGATATCTTCTGGGGGCTCCAGCCACGAGTCCAGGAGGTCAGGGGTTCGGAGATCCATGCTTCTGTGGGAAGGTATGAAGCACGGAAAGTTGCAGAAGGGGATGATGGCTGTCCCCTATCCCACACGGCTTCTGGGCTCCTCTGCTCCCTCTTCCATTATCCCCCTTCCTCACCTGTGCAGCCCCCTCACCTGTCGCCTGGAGATCTCGCCTCCATCTTTCTCTCACAGGTTCAGACAAACGGAGCCCCCCGGGTATTACCTGTTCCGAAGAACCCAGCCCTGCCAAGCCTACCTAACCCGCCGACCGCCCCAAACACTACACCTTTTCTTTCCTCCAGGATATTGCATCCTGGACCTGCCCAGACAAACCCCGCCCTCAGCCTTATACCAGGAAAGTGGGTGGCACCCTGCGAGGAGCCACTGTAGGGCCGCTGCATCTGGGAATAGGGGATTAAGAGGCTGCGCGTCCACAAACGGAATTTAAGGAAAACATACGCAGCCGCGCCCTTCCTGCCTCAGTTTCTCCTAGAGATAGTAAATCTTCCTGAGAGTTTAGCGTCTCCTCAGGAAAGAACAGAGAGGGCTGTCACCGGAGCACAGGACGCTTGAGTGCCTGTACTCCAGCCACCACTGCAGCGATGTAAACAAAGGCAGGAAGAGTGGGGAGGCTAGCGGGAGAGTTACGGAGGCCTCCCCTCCCCCCACGCGTGGCGCTCTTCTACAGTTGCGTCCTGATTGGAAGCGAAAGACTTAAGAGTTTGAGGGGCAGGGCATCCAGCCAATGGCATTACTCTCGCGAGGCCGGCTCCTCCGTAACTGGTCGGAATAGGCTGTCAGAGGGAAGTCAGGCCAAAGTGGCCGCCGTACTATTATTTGTCAGGCGGAGATTGGGTTCCGCCGGACCAACGGGAGGCTGAGAGCCAAAAAATGAGTTGCAGGGAAGTTGGGGAAAAGTTCCCAGAAAGTGGGGAGGAGCAGCCTGGATCGGTTTCGCTTACCACGTGACTCCGAAGCTCAGGTTATTACCTAGGCGAGGAGTAAATAACCTGTTGACTCAAGTTTAGTGACTGTGGGCTTTGACTCCGCGGGCAGAAAGTCGCGCAGCCGCGGTTTTTCCAAGTCTGTAATCTCTGCATTGTGCTACTGATGAAGAACAGCGGTTACACCCACACACTCACTGGACTCTGTTAACTAATGGAGGGACAAGGGTCTGGAAAACTGCAACAAGTTAAAAAACCTTTTGTGTTTGATTTGGGAATTTGTTTTACTGTCTGCGTGTAATTACCAGCAACATTATATGTCCTGCATTTGTACAACTTGCAAAATGTTTTCATAAACATTTGTTCCACAACAGCTGAGGCACATAGGGGAGGTAATTTTTTTGCTATGAGGAGACAGAGGTCTATGACTAGAAATAAGTATTAACAATACCAAAATTCAGGATTTTTTTTTTTTTTTGCCTTGGTCTAATGTCTGACAGTCCCGAAATTTACTTCAAATAAAATGATAGAGCTACAGGTATGATTTTCATCTACCTGTCTCCCCAGCGGTATTTCAGATAAAGGGGAGCTGGGTGAGTAAAGCAGGGAAGTTTAGGGTGTGGATTCAGAATTCAAAGTGGTATTCATTTTACTTGTGAAGATTTTAGTGGGCTAAGAGTAAAGACAGGAGCAGGATCCAGTATTTACTGAGCAACTATTATATGTCTGGCATTTTCATGTTACTTATATAATTCTCATAGCAACTCACAGCTGACCAAGAGAAGTTAACTTTCTCAAGGTTACTCTGTAAGTAGCTGAACCGAGATTGGATGCTTGAGCTGTATTCTTCACACTATACTAAGCTGCCTTGCTGGGCTTTCCCAAATTTCCCAAGTCTCTCTTTCCTGCTCATCTGTGCATCCTGCTCAAGTAGTGAAGAGACAAAGCAGGCTTCCTAGGTTGATGCAGAGGTCGAAGGAAAGCAGAGCTGTTCTTGTTTGGATCTTTCCTAGAGCAAGAAAGGTGGCTAAATACATTTCAAAGAGTTTCCTGCAGCCTGTATGTGCAGGGATGATTAAGTGGAAAATGTAGTTAGCTTCCCTTAATGTTAGAACTGGAAGGGCCCTCTGCCATCATCTGCTAGTTTAACTTCCCTCTTTCCCCTGACTTATTAAGGTCTGGAGAGGAAAAATGACTTGCCTAAAATCACACATCAAATTAAGGTAAAGTTCAAGAGATCTATTGTACAACATAATGACTATAGTTAATTACAGTGTATTGTATACTTGAGAACTGCTAAGAGAATAGATTTTAAGTGTTCTCACCACAAATAAATATGTGAGGTAATGCATGCCAGCTTGATTTAACCATTCTGCAGTGTATATATTTCAAAGCATCATGTTTTATACCATAAATATATATAAGTTTTATTTGTCAATTTAAAAATAAATATATGTGTATATGTAATTTAAGGTAGAGCTGGTCCAGGTGTTCTGACTCCCGATCATAATTCCTTATCAAAGTTACTAATTACCAATAATCTTTTTTCTTTATAGAAGATACTTCAAGACAAATTACCGATAATCTTTTTTTTCCTTTTTTTCTTTTTTTTTTATTTCGGCATATTATGGGGGTACAGATTTTAAGGTTTCAATAAATGCCCATTCCCCCCTCCCCCCACAAGTCTGAGTCTCCAGCATGACCATCCCCCAGATGGTGCACATCTCACTCATTATATATGTATACCCACCCCCCTCCCCCCACCAATAATCTTGAAAGCATAATTTGCCACAAACCATGACGTGCATAATATTCCCTTGAATAATCTGGAGTTCTCTCTAATAGTAATTTCCATTTTTTTTTCCATTTTTTTTTAAATTTCCATTTTTTTTTATTTTGGCATATTATGGGGTAAATTTCCATTTTTTAATTAAGAGCTTGGAACTGCAATGACTCTTAGTGAATGGTGAGACACAAATACCCTCATTACTTGCATCCTGATCTTAAAGTCCTATAGATTCCTTTCTCCTAGACATCCTCCCTCAACAAATCTTCACATTCTCCCTTTACTTAAAGAAGTTGCTGGCCGGGCGTGGTGGCTCACGCCTGTAATCCTAGCTCTCTGGGAGGCCGAGACGGGTGGATTGCTTAAGGTCAGGAGTTGGAAACCAGCCTGAGCAAGAGCGAGACCTCGTTTTCTACTATAAATAGAAAGAAATTAATTGGCAACTAATATATATAAAAATTAGCCGGCCATGGTGGCGCATGCCTGTAGTCCAGCTACTCAGGAGGCTGAGCAGGAGGATTGCTTGAGCCCAGGAGTTTGAGGTTGCTGTGAGCTAGGCTGACGCCATGGCACTCACTCTAGCCTGGCAACAAGTGAAGACTCTGTCTCAAAAAAAAAAAAAAAAAAAAAAAAAAGAGTTGCTGATGGCTGTGTGGGGTGGCTCACGCCTGTAATCCTAGCACTCTGGGAAGCTGAGGCAGGCTGATTGCTCGAGGTCAGGAGTTCAAAACCAGCAAGAGCAAGACCCTGTCTCTACTAAATATAGAAAGAAATTAATTGGTCAACTAATATATATAGAAAAATTAGCCGGGCGCATTAGTGCCATGCCTGTAGTCCAGCTACCGGGAGGCTGAGGCAGGAGGATCGCTGGAGCCCAGGAGATTGAGGTTGCTGTGAGTTAGGCTGACGCCAAGGCACTCACTCTAGCCTGGGCAACAAAGCAAGACTCTGTCTCAAAAAAAAAAAAAGAAGAAGAAGAAGTTTGCTGGGCTCCATTTTAAAAGTGGTGTCAGAGACATCACTCTGTAACTTCTTTAGGCAATGAGGCTTTTTGCCTGTGCAAAAAGAACAGGTTGAGCCCCTTTTTAATTTTCCTTTTTGTTACCCTTGGTCCCATGAGGTTAGAAGAGGATTCTCCTAATACAGGATTTGTGGTCCAAGAGGATCCAGGCTGAGGAAACAATAATAAAGGTCCTGAGTTGAAAATACCTTGGTGCATGCAAAGAACAGAAAACAGAAGGAAGGCCAGCAGGGGTGGAGGAGAAGAGTTGGGGATGAGGTTGGAATATTCCTGGCCAGATGCCTCCGGCGAGGCGGAGGCGTGGTAAGGATGTAAGTAGGAGTGTGCTGAGAGAGGCTCTCACAGGTGGGTTTTCAGCAGCCTCTGAGCTTTGTCCACCACTTCTATACACACTTGGAGAAGGCAAAAGGCTGTACAGAAGTCAGCTGGGCCATTGGAGTCAAGAAGGATGATTTTCAAGACACACCCTCTTTTGCTTTCCCCTTTTCCAATCTCCCTTGTCTTTTCTTTGTTGTGGGTGCTGGTGAGGGAAATCTAGCAAGGAAGTTCGTCCTAAGAATGGATGCTTCCCATCCCAGCCACGAGGACCTAACTAACGGGGTCTTAGAGTCTTCAAAGAGATAAGATAAAGAGACTTTGCTTTGGGAGGCCGAGGCGGGCGGATTGCTCAAGGTCAGGAGTTCGAAACCAGCCTGAGTGAGACCCGCTCTCTACAAAAATAGAATAAATTAATTGACCAACTAAAAATATATATACAAAAATTAGCCGGGCATGGTGGCGCATGCCTGTAGTCCCAGCTACTCGGGAGCTGAGGCAGTAGGATCGCTGAGCCCGGAGATTGAGGTTGCTGTGAGCCAGGCTGACGCACGCACTCACTCTAGCCTGGGCAACAAAGTGAGACTCTGTCTCAAAAAAAAAAAAAAAAAGAGACTTTGGCCAAGGCCGGAATATCCCCTAAAATGTACAGTGGAAGGCTTGGCAATGAGAGGGCAAGGATGGAGCCCCAGCTTCCCTCTGGGGTTTCTAGCTACCTCTTTTTTTTTTTTTAATTCTTTGTCCTTTTTCTTCTTTTACTTGCAAAATCTTGGGTAGATCTAGCTACCTCTTTAAAAAAAATCTCCATATAGGCCAGGCGTGGTGGCTCAGGCCTATAATCCTAGGGGAGGCCAAGGTGGGCGGATTGCTCAAGGTCAGGAGTTCGAAACCAGCCTGAGCAAGAGTGAGACACCCCCCCCCCCCGTCTTTACTAAAAATAGAAATTAATTGGCCAACTAAAAATATATCGAAAAAAATTAGCTGGGCATGGTGGCACATGCCTGTAGTCCAAGCTACTGGGGAGGCTGAGGCAGTAGGATCGCTTGAGCCCTGAAGTTTGAGGTTGCTGTGAGCTAGGCTGACGCCACGGCACTCACTCTGGCCCAGGCGACAGAGAGAGACTCTATCCCCCCCCCCCCAAAAAAAATCTCCATATAATCAAAGCCTGCGTAGACCGGCCAGCTCCGACTTGTCAGACCTCCACAGAGTTTCCCCGGCCACAACCTCCAAATCTTCTACCTAACCCCCTCCCTGGCTCTCACGCTCACTCTCTTCTTGTCGCCTGCTCCGCCCTCTTCTGCTCGCAGTTTCTGATTGCTCTAAGCTCACGTCACTCCATGTTTAGTCCCGCCTCCTAGACGCTATCATTGGCAGCCGGGCGCGGGTACGGCGGCCGCGGGGGAAAGGGGGAGCTATGGGAGGGGGCCGGAATTCCGACTCGAGGCCGGAACCGAGCGGATACCATGTAGCGAGACCCTCGGGAGGTGAGTGCGGGCTCTCCCGGAGCGGGGTCGTGGTCTGCCGTCCAGGCCTCCCGGAGCTTAGGAGCCCGAGTCAACTCTCACATGCTTCGTCTGCTTCCCGCGACATTAGCGGCCTCGAATCCCGCCTCCTGGAGCCCAGACTCCAGACACCGCCCTCATTGTCGTCTGAGTTCTTTCCCAAACCCCAGACCCTTACGGCCCCTCTCCTTTGGCCGTCTGCCCAGAGGTCCTGGCCTGTGGCGTGAAGCGCTCGCTTTCTGCTTTCGGGGGATGGCGCTGGGGCCAGGGGAGCGAGTGAGTGATCCAGCACCCCAAGTTCATCCTGTTTAGGTGGTCCACGAAACGACCCGCGAGACCTTTCCACAGCCCCAAGCCCCCTTGGCGTAATCCACCCCTTTCTTGGAATGAGCGCATGGCCTCTACGTTCTTTAGGGGACCCCCACTCCAGGCCCTATTTGGAGGTGGCCCCTAGTTCTCTGGGGGTGCAGGTGAAAGAATAATGAGATATCCACAAAGTCCTCAAGTCTAAATTTCCCCCTTGCTGGCTCCCTGAATAAGTCACTTGGGAAAGATAAAATCTGAGGAGAAAGGAATGTTTCTGGTATTGGGAGTGGATGAGTCACCCTGGGCTGAGGAAGGTCAGAAAGTGGATGGGGCAAGGGAACTGCACTGTTCTGACCAAGCTTCCCCTTTCCATGGCCCCATCTTTCCATTCTGGTCTATCTTCCTAGGTCTGAATCATTGGAGGTACCACAACTACCATGGGGCCCTGGGGAGAACCAGAGCTCCTGGTGTGGCGCCCAGAGGTGGTAGCTTCAGAGCCCTTAGTTCCTGTGGGGCTGGAGGTGAAGTTGGGGGCCCTGGTGCTGCTGCTGGTGCTCACTCTCCTCTGCAGTCTGGTGCCTATCTGTGTGCTGCGCCGTCCCGGTGCTAACCATGAAGCATCAGGTAAGTAAGCCTCTCCTTTTCCCCCTACTGCTATGGATGCTTGGTTTAGGGAAGGCTCTGGGGCAGAGGGAGGTGACCTAAAGGAGGAGAAGGCCAGAGCAGCCATTGCTTGGGTTGGGGTAGTGGGGCCTGGAAGGGGTTCATTTGTTCATTCCCCTCTATGCTTCACTCCTTCTCAGCTTCCCGCCAGAAAGCCCTGAGCCTAGTAAGCTGCTTCGCAGGGGGTGTCTTTTTGGCCACCTGTCTCCTGGACCTGCTGCCTGACTACCTGGCTGCCATAGATGCGGCTCTTGCAGCCCTGCATGTGACGGTGAGCACTGGCCTGGACATGTGACCCTGTGTATGTGGGTTGTGTCTAATTACATACCTCTAGGAGAGATGGTTTGTGTAGATCTGTTCACATGTCACTCCATGACTGTGTGGAAGACTCTTGGCATGTGATTCTGTGAATTGTGATTTTTGGTTAAAGGGCATAACTCTTTCTATGTATCCCCTCCCCACTCCCCAGTCTCTGTGTGACCTCCCTATGTACCTTTGAGACAGTGTGAGAAACATTATTATCAGATGTGTGACCTACTCTGTGGGGTTCTCAGCTCAAGACATCAGGAAGTTAAGAGTGCTCCAAGAGTTATTTTCATTCTTACCATTTTCCACCTCCTCCAAGTGCTGGAGATACAAACCTCTGTAGGCCTGGGAATGATAGGAAGCAATTTCCAGGGGCCTGGTATTGCTGATCAAAAAGGCTTTAGCCCAAGGAAGTAGGATGTGGAGATGATCAAGTCCAAGCCATAGCATAGACTCACTATAGGAAAAACTGAGACAGTTGGGTAGTGGTGCAGGGAAGTAATCCTGGATTCTTTCCTCTATCCCCTCCCCCCCCCAGACTAAGGAAGTAACACTGGATGTAACCTTTTGTGTGTCTGTTACTGAGTGACCCATGTCTATGTGTGACTATGTATAAGCATGAATGTCCCTGTGACAATATGTAGCTCTGTGTGTGAACATTTGGGGAGGTGGGCCAATATGTGACCTAAACAGGTGTATCCCTGTATCATATATAGGTGTATATATATCATATATAGATATATGCCTATATCAGTGACTCTCAATTGGGGGTGGCTTTGCCTCTTAGGAAATATTTGGTAATGTCTGGAGACATTTTTGGTTGTCTCAGCTGGGTGGAAGGTGGGAAGAGCATTGTGCCTGCAATTGGCATCTGGTGGGTGGCGGTCAGAAATGCTACTAAACAACCAATATGGTGCACAGGACAGCACCTGTGACAAAGAATTATCTGGCTCAAAACTTTAATAGGGCCAAAGTTGAGAAGAAACTTTGGTCTATATGTAACACTGTTAGTGACACCATAATCTGTGTGACTGTGTATCATTCTGGTCTGTGTTACCAAGTAACTCTATCTATGTGTGACTAAGAGAGTAGCCCTGTGTCTGTGTGGGACCCTAGGTCTATGTAACTGGGCCTCCACCGGACTCTGCATCTGATTCTTCCTCCCTCACCTTGGCATATCTCCTGAACTCCTTGTCCCATCTGCCCACAGCTCCAGTTCCCCCTGCAAGAATTCATCCTGGCCATGGGCTTTTTCCTGGTCCTGGTGATGGAGCAGATCACACTGGCTTACAAGGAGCAGTCAGGGCCACCACCTTTGGAGGAAACAAGGGCTCTACTAGGAACAGTGAACGGCGGGCCGCAGCATTGGCATGATGGGCCAGGGGTCCCACAGGCAGGAGGAGCCCCAGCATCCCCCTCAGCCCTACGTGCCTGTGTATTGGTCTTCTCCTTGGCCCTGCACTCGGTGTTCGAGGGGCTGGCAGTAGGGCTGCAGCGAGACCGGGCTCGGGCCATGGAGCTATGCCTGGCTTTACTGCTCCACAAAGGCATCTTGGCCGTCAGCCTGTCGCTGCGGCTGCTACAGAGCCACCTGCGCGCACAGGTGGTGGCTGGCTGTGGGATTCTCTTTTCATGCATGACACCTCTAGGCATTGGGCTGGGTGCAGCTCTGGCAGAGTCAGCTGGGCCTCTGCACCAGCTGGCCCAGTCTGTGCTAGAGGGCATGGCAGCTGGCACCTTCCTGTATATCACCTTCCTGGAAATCCTGCCCCAGGAGCTGGCTGCTTCTGAGCAGAGGATCCTCAAGGTCATTCTGCTCCTAGCAGGCTTTGCCCTGCTCACTGGCCTGCTCTTCATCCAAATTTAGGGGGCGTCAAGAGAGGGGCAGGGGAGATTCACTATCAGGTGCCCTTTTCTTCCTCTCCCCCAGTGTGTGGGAATAGGAAGGAATGCGGAAGGGAAGTACTGAGGACCCAAACATTCTCTGGGAGGTAGAGATGGAGCTTTTGGGACTATCTGATCAATGAGAGGGAAGTGGACAGACAAGAGGCTGGCCCCAGGCCCAAGGATCAAGAGATGATCAAATCACTACAGACATTAATCAAGGGACATTAGGATTGGGGAAGACACCTGACTGCTACAATCAGAAGATGGACAGTATAGATAAGGGCAGACTGATACTGGGGGGCAGGGGTGGAGGTGGGCACCCAGCCGCTGTAGGATAGAGATATGGAGAGGTCATAAGCCCAGAGTTGGCATCCTGTTGGTTCTAGCCCATTTCTGACTCTGCCACTTGGAGTGGACCCCTCTTAATTTTTTTTAGCTCCCATTCTCATATCTATCTCCCTCTTCCCTTTTCCCAGGGGACTAGTGCCAAATGGCCTCTCCCTGCCAGTTTTGGTACCTTCTCTGGCCTTTTCAGTCCTGCTCACTCCTCTATTTTTAAAGTGCCAAACAAATCCCCTCCCTCTTTCTCAAAGCACAGTGATGTGGCACTGAGCCCTGCCCAACACCTCAATGGAGGAGGCCTGCTTCTTCTTTATTTTGGTCCCAGATCCTGGGGTGGGGCAGAAATGTTTTCTGGGCTGGTATGGGGGAAGTATTGGAGAGCTGCAGCCCTCTACTGGGGCTGTACCCTAGGAATACAGAACATGGACCTGGTGCCCCATGCTCATATGATAAACACTGAACTGCCAAAACATCTTTTTATACCTGAGGAGCCCAAGGGTGGAAGGGGAAGGGCCACCCTCAGGGTTATTTTTGGGGAGGGAGGGCTGTGCCTAGGGCCATATTCTCTAAATCTATTTTACTAACTGACCTGTTTTGGGACGTGTTACCTAAATAAAAGATGTTTCTATACATGTTTACAGTGTTTTTGATTCATTTGTCTTGGGAAAGGGGTGGGTATGAGAGGGCCTAATTCCCAGATGCTGAAAGCTGTTTTGAGATCCTTGGTCTCACTCTTTTCACTTGGCCTCTTCCCTGAAGATGACCCAATTTTTTCACCTTTTGTGTCTTTTTCCCTCCCTGTCTTCACCCCTTCCCTTCCCTTCTCTTTAATCCTTCTCTCCCTTCCAGATCATAGGCTGGGGACTAATTTAGAACTACTCTTCCCAGCTTGCCCCTCGCAGGGAGTAGCCGAGAGGGTGGAGCCAAGCCCCCAGTTCCCGGACTCTACAGGGCTGCTGGGAAGTGGAGTCCATTTCCTCCCCGTTCTGCGTGACTGGGGACGTGCAGGAGTCACGTAAACAAACTGCAACTCCCGGCGGCCCCCGCGCGCAACAGGTCAGGGTTAGGCTGGGGCCGGGTTCGCGGTGCTGGCTGAGGCGGCGGCGGCTACGGCTGGAGGAGCCGGGCCGGAGCCCGCGGCGGGGGCCGTGGCTTGTACTACGAGGGTCGCGGGGAGGGATCAGGGAGGAAGATGGCGACGCCGGGGGCGAACGGGCCTGGCTCCGCCGCGGCCTCAGCTTCCAATCCGCGCAAGTTTAGTGAGAAGATAGCGCTGCAGAAGCAGCGTCAGGCCGAGGAGACGGCGGCCTTCGAGGAGGTGATGATGGACATCGGCTCCACCCGGGTGAGGGGCCTCGCTTGGGAGCGGGAGCAGAGCTGAGCAGTTACGGAACAGAGCGGAGAGGCGGGGCGGGGGCGGGAGCCTCTGCGAAGGAGGCGGAACGCGGCAGGGGCCGTGGGCGCCGCCGTCTGGGAGGCGCGGGTTGAGGGCCGAGGGGCCGGAGGGCGGATTTTGCTGGGGGACATCGAAACACTGGAGAGGTTGGGGGTATGAAAATGACTGGGGACCAAGTACGTGAGGCAGGAATGGGCAGAAAGGAGAGATGGTCCCCTGAAGTCCATCGGAGGTAGGAGGTGGGTACTTGTGCATCCCTGACGGAGGCCCCGCGGAGACCCTACTGAAACATCCCTCATGTTGGGTTATGTGTTGAGGGGATGGTCTGCTTGTCCCTAATCTGTTTCCTCTGAGTTTGTGATCTCTTCCAAGCTGGCCCCTCTGCCGTGTTGTGCTACTCTCGGTGCTTTGGTACCTCCAGAAAGGGCCCCTTGAGTGGTTTGAACAGCAGTGCTGGGTATAGTGGGACAGGAAGTCCCCTTCTGCGTCCCGTCCCTCTGCTTCCTTTTTCAAATACTTCTTGTGGTTTCCTGATGTGAATGAAGGTGAGGTCCATTGCTTGGTGTTTTGCCCTGCCGCCTCGGAGGAGAGGTAGGTGTTTGAATCCCAAAACCGGGTAACTGGCTATTGGTTGTGTGGAACTCAGAGGTTTGCTGAGCTTTCTAGGGAGATGACTGCTTTGTGGGTCAGTTTATGGGATACCTTGGAGGGTCTTCTGTATGTAGGGAATATTCATTCCTAGGAAGTTCCTGAAAACTTTCAGGCCTCTGAAAGGCTTCTGAATCCCCTCTGGTCTTGGTTTCTTGCTTCCCAGGACTAGATGTCAGAGAGAGCAAGGGGTGGGAGTTTGCCCATTTGGTGTGCAGCCCTAATTTAGGGACATTTTATTTTCAAAATGGCAGATGAGGATACTCTCATGGCAGAGAGATAGAATGAATTAAGGGGAAATGGAACATAAATACCATATTTCAAGGCTGTTTCTACTGGTCTGATTGTGATTGCATGTATCCATGACTGACTCTGACTGATTGTATTTTTGTGTGTCTCTTCCTTGACTTCGTTAGTCTTTTTGTGTTTTTTCCCTTTTGAGTCTCTAGGGACCACGTGCCCTAGTTTGTGGGAATCAGAACAGAGACAGTTAGGTGGAGAGACAGATGAGGGGGGTGCCTGCACACATGGGCACACTCACATGCTTGCCTGTGCATAACCCACTCTAACCACCACGAGGACTATGATCTAACTGTTGACTGCACCCTTTTAGGAGCTTTTGATCTTGCTGGGGACAGAGACAAGAAGATGGGAAAGCTGATCTCCAGCTAACAGATTGAGGCCCTGCCCTCTAGACTGTGATTCTGGCAGAGGCATGGTGGGACGTTACGGCTTTTAGTACAAAGAAAGGCTGTGAGAAACTCAAAGCTGGGGCTTTTGTTTCTATCTATGTGGTGCCTTGGTCTATCAAAAGTTCCCTTCTACCTACCTTGCTCCTGCTGGTTAATTTATGTGCTACACAGAAAGGTCTAGTGGGTGTACATGGCCAGGGCCTGGAGACCCAAGAATCTAGAGCTAGAGATAAAAGACTTGGGGCTTAGCCTGTTAGCAGGCCTGGTGGGAGGGTTCATTTGAGGTAGATAGAGCTATGGGGGCCTATAGCACTGAGACTGAGGTTGCCATATATGTTAATAAAGGTTTTGAAGTGGCCCAGAAGTCAGTCAGTTTTGATGTTGGCTTATGTACAACAGCATGACCCTGGAAGCTCTTAAAACTCACCCTTCTTCAGCTGCCCTCCTCCTAATGGCCTTGCCTGGGTCTGTTTTTTTGGCTGATGGCAGTGTCTGAGCCTCGGAAGTAGATGCTCACTTCTCACAGAAGGACATGAGATCTGTAGACAGACTAAACCCATGCCAGGCTAAGGGTTGTGGTGTCTTACCTCTGTACCAGACATATCCCCAAAGTGGGGATGAAGCCAGAAAGATGGTTCTGGCCCAAGCTGGAGTGGGCTACTGCTCCCTCTCCCACTTCCCTGCCCCAGGATTCCCTGCCAATTTAGGGACCTTAGGATTCAGTGGAAGAATACCCCTTGGTTTTGGCACTGTTTTCCTAGCTAAGAGAGCTATTATTTCTTGGATTTTCTAGTTCAGGAGGTACAGGCTTTGTTTAGCCTTCCTGAGGCTGGTTAAGTGGCAGAGCCTAGAAGCCTGTGCTTTCCAGAATGGGAAGGAAAGAGGCTTGCAGTAATGGCTCTGTAACATTTACCTGTGGCCTTCCCCTTTTCTCCAATTAGTCCTGGGTAGGATGGATTGTTTGTATCAGGTCTCAGTGGACTTTTCCGCCAGCACTGGATTTTTTTGTGGTAGATTTCTTTTTATTATTTATTTTTTTTTTTTGTAGAGATGGGGTCTTGCTCTGTTGTCCAGCCTGGTCTCAAACTCCTGGCCTCAAGTGATCCTTCCACTTTGGCCTCCCAAAGTGCTGGCATTACAGGTGTGAGCCACTGCATTTGGCCACTGGCGGATTTCTTAAAAGCAGCATATCCTGGTGACAAAGATGACGAGGATGACCAAAAGGAACAGTGCTTAGTACCCTCCCTGACGTTTCCATTTGTTTCCCATGTCTCAGTTACAGGCCCAAAAACTACGGCTGGCATACACAAGGAGCTCCCATTATGGTGGTTCTCTGCCCAATGTCAACCAGATTGGCTGTAGCTTGGCTGAGTTCCAGGTAAGTAGACACCAGCCAGGGGAGCGTGGAGGTTCTTAGACTGCATCCTCTGCTGACTTACCTGTCCGTTTTGGCAGAGCCCCCTCCACTCGCCTTTGGATTCATCACGGAGCACTCGGCACCATGGGCTGGTGGAACGGGTACAGCGAGATGCCCGCAGAATGGTGTCCCCACTCCGCCGATACCCCCGCCATATATCTTTCTCAGAGAGTTTGGGGGTTCTGATGGATGGTAGGATGGGGTTCCTTAGGGATTTATGGTAGGAAGGGACTTTAAATGTTGTCCAGTTTCATCCTTCTCCAGGAACTCTGACCAGTGACCATAACCCATACGTTAGTACTGGCTCCTGTGACAGGGAGTTGTTGCTCCTGAGACTGTGCCCTCCATCTCTGGCTGGCTGTGGCTGTCCTTACTTCAGCTCACTCTTTGCTCCCAGAAGTGAGGCTCTCTGATAAGTCTCCTGCTAAAGGAGATTTGGTCCCTCCTTCTCCCATTTCTGTTCTTAGCTTTCGATCTCAGAGACCTACAGACCTGTTTCCCCCAAACCCTGTCCAGACAGTCTCCTATATTTTTCCAGCTCATTTAGGCCTGATTCCCTTCTTTTCCACTGTTGACTCTTGTAGAGGAGAAAGGTATGTATTTCTTGAAACAACTTATTTGCTGCCTCTATTACTCTTCTCCCATCTGGTCCCCAGCCCATTTAGTCCCTCTCTACTTTTTTCCTTAACTGGTGCTGTTCACATTGACAGTTCTCCCTATAGTCCTGCCTACTTATCTCCTCCCCCGGAGTCCAGCTGGCGAAGGTAAGTGCCCAGGGCAGGCAGAATTTCCTGCCCATTCCCTGACATGCTTCTGGTTGGGGCTGGGATTACTGGGCTACAGTTTCAACAATACCTGCTCCCATAACAGCAGGGCTGGAAGGGGTGGGGGCAGGTGGAGTAGGTGGGTCAGAGTCCAGCCTTGGCCATGTTGACACGAGTGGCCAAGCCTCCCAGTCCAGCCAGAGCAGGACCAATGGGAACTGTAGCCAGGTTGGGTGTGTGTGTAATGGGGAGGGGAGAATGGCAGGGTAGCAGATGAAAATGGCTGCCTTCTATCAAGGATGGGTGCCAGATGTAGACTCTTAGACTTCTAAACCCCTCCCCTTGTCCCTCTCACCTCCAGTATTCATACCTAGCAGAGTTACTGGGTTCTAGGATTCCCATTCTGCTTGTCCTGGCAGAGAGAAGTTGAGAAGTTTCCAAATCTGTGAGATTGACTAGGGAAGAAGCATGATCTTGGGTGCCCAGCCCTCTCCACTTCTACCTTGGCTGCCCAACATTTTCCAACCCAGTGCTCACTGTTCCTGTCTATTGCCAGCTTTCCTCCTCATGACTTTGTTTTTCTAATCCAGGACGATGCCCTGGGGCAATTTCCCTGCAGAGAAGGGACAGTTGTTTCGACTACCAACTGCACTTAACAGGTGAAGCCTTTGCCTTCTTGGGGCCACATCTCTATTTATCTGTAGTTTCTGGGACCCTAA